TACGGTTAGTTGATTGTAACCTCATAATGTGCGGTTCGGAAGTGATGAAGTTGAGTATTTCGTTGGTATTAGGTGGAGCAATTGAAGTTCAATGCGAAGACAAACTGGTACTTTCGTTTCTAGATATTACATCACGAGAATTATCCTGAACTTGGAGTGAGCATCATCTGGAATGAGTTACTTATATTGCTGTTGTAAGCATTATGGCGCATGATCCAATGAACTGAATATCGGTCCCCAATGGATTGTTGTTCTCGCCCATCGGCTTTGGCTGGCCGAAGTCTCCGGTTGTGTATTCTCAAAGAAAATTCATCTGCCTAGACCTGGGCAACCTGGCAGTATTCCACCCACCTGCAACCCACTGAACGTTTTTATTTTATAAATAAATAAAAACATTATAGCACAATAACTGTGTGCACACTGAAAACCACCTGTTTATTTTCATGTGATCACTGCCATATAGAATCATTGGAGTTTTTTTATCTTCTGATCCATAAAGATTGATTCACAGACGAAAGCATATTTTTGTGTTTCACAACAGTTCAACTGTGAGGCCTCTCCTGTCCCGTTTCCATTTAGGTCACGTAAACAAGGGTAACTACGGTGTTAGTATTTGACCACATTCGACGTGCAGAGAGTACACAAAGTAATCAATCTATCTGCCCCGGTTTACCTCATAACCTCGGTCGATTCAGGCCGAGGATGTGCAAGTGTATACCAAGCTGTGAAACCCAATGCCAAAAAACGCCTTTCACCGGGTCAGTTCCAATGTGCTTGATCATCTGGGTACAATGTGTGCCTTGGAAGGAAAACAAAAGAGAGTTAGTTGGAGAAAAGCCAGGTTCATGCCCTCACCACACACCACAAATTGAAATGACTGAATATGGTTAATTAGTGTTATGAATCTTGTCGATTGATTATGTGTCAGTGCGGAGAACGGAGTCGGGGCATTCAGCAATAGAAAAGTTCGACATTAGCTGACCTTAGAATCGATGTTTTCTTGCGCGCCAAATGATGAAATAATAAACGTATATATCACCGGCCTGTGGGAAACGGATGAGCTGGACCCCAGCCAGGTGTAAGCAACATTATATCAAACGAAGTTCCTTAACCGTTTCCCTTTTTGAACAATTGTTTAATTCATCACAAAATCATAATAAACACACACGTATTAAGAGGCAATTTACCAATGCATTGGTCATTAATTTGTGGGAACAATAATCGTGAGTAAGTCGGTAATTGTCTTATTCTATCCGGCTGCGAGGTCACAGGAACAGAACCACTCAGTGAGAGAGATAAATGTACAGAAAAAGCATGAGTCATTCAGTGACACCCATCAGGAGTCCTCAGTGTAACGAATATCTAACGAGAAAGCGAAAGACCTGAGATTAAAAGTCCAAAAAACCATCATGAATAATGCTTAGTGAGTTTTGGAGAAACAGGTCTATATAAGAGTATTCCGACCTGGTGCCTGAAAAGCATAGGTAATACTTGTATGATTTAGTTAATTGTTGCAGTCCCAGAAAAGTTACTTGTTAGTATACTTTCTTCATTTTAAATGGTAACATTAATGACCAGTTAGGTACACATAAAACAGTAGTGAGCATATCTTACACCTTCTTCCAACTCGGCTTCTTCATCAATCTCATACAGACCGACTGGAGAAATCCACGTGGCTGCCGTGATTCGTGCAATCTGGGCACGAAGTAAATGCACTTCCAGGCCCGGAAAGTCACCCAACCCACCGGGTGAACGTGCCACAGGCGCATCCGGTCTGCCCACAAATAAGCGCCGGATGTACCGGGCATGACAGATGTGTTCCGGTCGAGCCGGGGGTAAACGGAACCACTCTTCCGAACCAAGACGAGTACAGGCAAAATAGTCCCACCGATTTGTTCCCCGACCACGAGGTTCCGGTGGTACCGGGGCCCGAGGACACCATTTGTTTTTGGGCAAATTTTCCAGAGCCGCTTCTCTGGCTAGCATGAGTTTTTGCCGATCAATTGGTAGTTCACTTTCCGAACCAGGCTCTGAGTGCTCACTTGTCTCACGGTGCTTCAGTTTAGGTGGTTCAGTCGACTCTTCTGAACAGTAATCCGATTAAAAAAAACAGAAATCAAAAGCTGAATAAATAAAGGTGCTCATTGAAAATGACAGCATTTCTATAAAAAAGTTTTGAATGCATCGAAACTTGTTATTCATAATTTACACTTGTTTACCATTACGCTCGTTACATGTGAAAGTGACGGCCCATTTCAGGGATTGATTTGACTAAGCTCAAGCACTTTAGTTCGACAAACCAAAGGTTAACCCTTTGTTCTCCCAATTCTCAGTCCACCTGAGACATGAACTGTCGAAGCACAACACAATTTAATAAGAACAACAGAAATTAAAGGCAAATGCAAACTTCGTCTCAGTACTCAGTGTGAAGTAACACTGGACAGTTAAATGCGTACGCGTCCGACTATGGTCGACGCTTTTGTACAGAAAAGCATAAGTTTCTGTATTTACTTACAAGCCCAGTGATGCTGTGTTCCGGTTTAGTCTACCTTTTTTAAACGGAGAGCTTGCCTGTAACAAGTTAACCGATAGTAGCAGAGATGCTTGAAGACATGAAAGGTAGTGCCTAGAGAGGAAGATTAGGCAAGCTCAAAATTTTCACTCCATGACAAATCAGAGATCACACGGATTTCACAGCAGTAATTATGATTGAGGAAGACTTAACCGGGTTTTCTCTATCCGGAACAGCTTGTTTTAAGCTTCTCCAACGGAACCCGTGCGATCATGAAATCAAACACATGAAATGGCGTCCTATACTGGACCTTCGAGCACAGTCCTTTAATAACAGCATGGTAAATAGATGGAATAAACTGGAAGAAGTGGTACATCTTCCAATTTTTCAGGTTTTTAAAGCTGCGAGCACAAGTCAACTTGAGGATTTTCCAAATCTAGATCAAAGCAAATAACATTTGTTGCACAAAATATGCAACAAAGCATTATAATTATCTCGCCGACACGGTGAGAAGTGTTGATTCTCTTCTTCTCCAGTTGCGTATCGAGGGCGAAATCGAATAACCGTAAGGGTGAACGCACATTGGTGAAAATACCATTGCAGGAATTTCGGACGACTGTTTAGCCTGACTTGATAACGAAACAAAAGTTTTAAATGTTAACTTAGGCTGGATACACCACACATGTGTTCAATACATTTCAAAGCATCTGTCGAGTTAGTAATAAATAAGTAGTCACGAATACTCATTTGTGGAAGATCAATAATCCGGAAGGAGTATCAATAGCGATATCTGTGGTGAAATTGTGCAAATCTTCCCCAATGTAACTTAAAAAAATTCCGAGAACTTCACATCTTTCAGGCAGTTATGATAATTATCCGATTCACTTTGACCGATGTAATGGGACTGACATTAATGTGCTGACGTAAGTTTCCTTAAAAGACATTCATCTGTCGAATGTCTGCAAAGAAGATCTAAAGAAATGTGAAATATAATAGATGAAATGAATTACAATGGGTTAGTTTAATTAAACAATCGATTTTTAACAACTTTATTGCATATAAGTGACCACGAGAAACGATAACTTTTGGAACTCCTCTATGCAATTCTGTTTTACATGGCTTTTTAGAAGTTCAATTCTCCTGACACAAATAATGGTCAGAGACATTCTCATGAATTTTTGGAGAGTGCAGTAGGGTTTGGTATTAGTCCTCCTGTACACTGTGTCATCTGGAACATTTAATACTGGCGACTTCTGAGCGAATTCAAATCTAAGTTAATAATGCATACTACTCAATAACGTCCTCTATCCTTGTGTGAGGATTGCAGTGCCCAACAGCTCCCAGAGAAGAAGTTTGATATGGAGTACAGGGACGACGTTTTACTAATCAGGCAGGTTCAAGGCCAGTTGAAATCTATCTTGAATGGTTTGATTGTTAGCGTAGCTATGTTCAGCGTAAAAATGTGAAACAGACTGAAGTGGTCCACCTCTCAACCTTTTCTCATTGGGAGAGGAAGGGTATCCTATTTGAGAAGTTACATCTAATTTGGTGGAGGAATTTAGGATGCAGAGCTGGCATGCCAATAAAAGGCTACATTGGTGTAGCCGAATTGAGATCTCTTTGGTACCACTGCGACATCCAACAGTCTGTGAAGAATCGAGTACATCCTTAAATTGCACTGCGGATTAGACAATACCGTTTTATTTGTACAGAAAAATACCATTCAATCAAAATTTCAGTTTGTACAACCAATAACCATACACTATCGTTCGCCGGTTTTGGTTGCTGCCTTCTGGTTGCCCATTTGGATGAACATGAGGAGAAAGACAGGAGAGGTTGAAAGCAGGATCAAGGATTTCAGTGGACTAATGTTGCAGAGAAATTGACAAGATGCACAAACGCCATTGTTTACGACACTCAGCCATATCACTCAGTGTCTCTAACCATCGGGTATGATCATCTCGAGGTCCCCATCCAGGAAGCTTAACGGGACCTATGTGACACAGACTGCTGGCTACGGTTTTCATTCCCTCATTCCAGGTTTAGCTTGACTACGCTTGACTTTCTTCCACCCACCAGCTACCTCAGTGAACATCGCTCGCCGTGGCAACCTACCTGGTGACATGCGTAACACAATGCGTTCACAATGAACCTCAGTTTTAGTAATTCAGTTTCATACATTCCCATGAACCTAGTTTCGGAATGTAACAGAAACGAAGAGTGCTTCGATTTTGGTGATAAATGACCCATTGTGGTTTATTTCTGGCGAAATTACACTCAGAATAATGATCAAAGTGATTTGTCAAATGTGCGAATGTGGCCAACAGGGTTGTGGACGTAGTTCCATCTCTTCAGCTGTGTGCAAACATTGATGTAAAAGTTCGATCATTGTCCTGATCTTGCTTAAAACATTTTGTACATTATTTCGTGGTGGTTTTGTCCTCGAAGTGGAAAATGAAGACATTGGTTTTGAACTCAGACCGGTTTGTGCTGATGTAGCCATTCCGCTCGATGAATCTACAGGCAGAATACAAGTACACGATACTCAGGTTTTTAAATAATTCCCTGATAAGTAAAAGCGTTGGTGGTTCTGTCCGAAATCAATACATTTCTATGGGCCACAGCTTTGTACTGTCCCGCATGCTGTAAGTGTTGCAAATAGGAGACCGGGTGGCATTCATTTGCATGCAATTAATTTAAAGTGACAGCGCACACATTTGCCAGATTCTGATCTTCACGCATTTGCAAACCAATTTGCATACAAACCGGGAGTTTCCTGCATACTGCAACTGGTTTAGTTCCAATGGTTTAGGCGGATTGCTCCGAGCAACAGGATACTACGAGCCGTTCACTTTAACTGATTCGATGGAAACACCGGAATCACATGATTTCACGTAGCCAACAGCTGCTTCAGTGCTTTGTGGGAACAAAGTTTTTTATCTGTGGTTTTCCTGTTTCAGGTCGATGTTATTTCTCTTTGCACGTGACAGTGTGGTCGATATTCAAGGATTTTTCTCAAAGGATATAAATGGCTGATGAACGGCAGCGCGTCGGACAAGAAGTGTAGAAATAGTACAAATAAGGTCTGGGTCAATAAGCTGCACGCATGATGAGATACGCACATGATGAAACCAACGGAACAGATTTCTGTTAAAGTACAAATGTTCTCCTTAGAATGGTTAAGCACAATGCACGTGAGTATTTTTTTTCAAAATTCACTCTGATTCGAAATTCAGCTGGTAATAATGTACAGAGAAATGGTTTTTCCGAGGACCGGATTCCTGTATACTTCATTTAAAGAAAAAAGCAAATATAGTGACAAAAGTGGATATATCATCGGCAATCTGCATTTCCGAGTTTGGGGGATTGAATGACTACGGTATTTGCGCCGTGACAAGGGGAACGAGACAGCTGCATTCCATTGTTCTATACCGGTGTCTAGGTCCCTCTGGGACCTCAAAATAGCTACCTAAACGGCTCATGTGATAATCTCAGTTTACCTACTGCTGGAACCAAACTAACAAGCAACTTATTGCGTATTTCTGTAATTTGTAAGTACTCATTGTATCTACAGTATTACAAAGGTGATTTCGACGTAGGGCTTTATAAATTAACTCGTTTTTTGTCTCGCCAATACTGTTAGACCGATCTAACAAAAGTTGTCACGTGATAAACAAGTGCTTTTATCGACACAGAATAGGTTTCTCCTGATGGATTGCAATTACTTTGACAATCCTGAGCGTTCCAACGCGTTCGTTAATACAATTAACTTTAAATGTTTCCGCTCTGATCAAGGTCTTTTCGCATTCTCAACAAGTGATTACCGGTTGAGTAGCTAGATGCTTTTTGTGCAAGACGTGTTAGCAACCAGCTATTTTGATCCTGATATTAGCGATCTCACAAATAATCCAGTTTCAAATGTGTTCCAAATCCCAAGTATATCAGTACCGTTTGTGTTACTGCAGTATTTCACTTTTTTTGCACCATGTTAGGTAAAAACATTATGCTAAATCAACTTAGCTTCTAACAAAAGAAAATTCACAAATCTACACAAGGGAACCAATGGTTAATCAAGGAGTTCCGTTGCGTATCATCTTGTTTACATAGATACTATTGTAGCGCTCGATATTGCCTCCAAGTGGTTCCAATATCCGATGATGAAGGCTCCTGGAATTCAAATGAATCACCCGCGTAGATCTGTATTTTTACTTTTTGATACCAACCTGTATCATGCAATATGTAATTCATAATTTCAGTCGACAACCAGATGCGTGAATACCAACTGGAATGAAAGTAAAACTTACGCTTTGGTGGAAATGGACGCCAATCATCAAATGGCCCAGGCACACCCGGATCCGGATCTGCTCCTGCTTCGAATTCTCCCTCTGCGATGTAGTAGGCACCATGTGTACACAGTATTTTTCCCCAAAAGCGTAGCTTGACCACGGTCGTCAGTTTGAGGGAGAGCTTACGTATACTGAGCCAGACTTTAAGCATTTCCGTTCGTCCCAGACCTAAGAATAAATACACATTCAGTGCACATGAAATGCCCAATGTTCAAAATAGGGGAACTATGAGAACATTCCACGGATAAATTTAAGCGTATTTACTAATTTAAAAAAAGAATGTATACCCTTTTCAATTTAAGAGGTCCTAAAATCAATTTAAGATGTCATAAAATCAATGTACGATATCATGTTGCTGTGTGGATAGTACGATAGTGTGATTGCTCCGTTGTTTCGCATTGTCTTACACTTTTGTGATGCTCTTGTTGTCACGATCAGTCCATCCGTCTGGTGATGGCAAGCCCGCTGTACAGCCGAAGTTCACTGGGTTTGCTAGTATTGCTATTCGGGCATCTTAAATAGATGCTTTCACCTCTTAAGTTTATATTCGGACATCTTCAATTGAAAAATGTATAGTATTACTCGTATTGTATGTGCTACGCTTTTAGCGTTGTACTGCAAGGTAAGGTTTTTATTTTATTTTTTCGCTTACTCCAATTCGCTGAGTTGAGTGGATGAGTGTGTTTGAATAAGTTAAGGGGGGGGGAGCTATGATATTCGAAAGCGAATACAACTTTTACTTATTCGAGCAAAGACATTCACCAATGCTGACAATCGAATACTTCATGTGACGAAACACGTGTTTTTCACCGTGATATTTACGGCGATCACTTTGGAGGAAGATTTGGGCGAATCAGAATGATTTGACTAAAAGGTAATGTATTTCTCAAGATAAAGAAATAATGCTCGAATTCTGGCCCTTCTGAGAACATGTGAGGATTACACTGAATAACTGAATGACTTATTCAAACTTATCGCTTCATATCGGCAATTGTGTAGCTGAATCACATTGATAAGAGAGCTCCATCTAGTCTAACACGAGAACTGATAATAAGACTAGTAAATTTCCCGTCTAACAAGCTACCCCCTACCTGTGGGATAAAAGAGTAAGACTGAAAGGAAAATAGAATATTGATGTGTACTTCATCTGCGTGCAGTATCTTCCTAAACAAATGCTCCTTTACAAAAAGAGTTCAACAGGAAATCAGACAGAAATTACAGAATTATGAGTAATAAGTAACTCTTACAATTGCCAAGGTTCAGTGGGAACAACGAGGCACGACATACCCACACCGGCTTGTTCAACCAGGAATGAAGTCTGGCCGAGATTTTGCAGTCGAGCGATTTCTTCATCATCATCGTAATATCCGCCCCACGGTGCAGGAAGTGGGGCCTCCACAAACGGAGCCTCATCCCACTTGTGTTTTGGGTGCTGAGTATTGGGTGGGACACGGAAAATTTGATCCGAATTTCATTGGTGCAGTTTGGTTGATAAAAAAGCTTGATCCATACATTTACTGTTGATGAAACAATTTAATTACAAGACAGTTGTGTTTTTACAGTAACCTCCTCATTGACACTGCTTCCTATTGTACACAGTTCACAACGAAGTAATAGCAGCGGTAATTTGTTCCCTGTCAAGGACAGAAAAACATGTCAATTGTGACTGCGCATAATTCATGAAGGGGATACGAGATTGGCGGTTACCCAGATGCATGAAACAGATATCCCAAGCAAACAACCCAGAAGATATTAATGGGCTGACACAAACGTTGGTTCTTCCACTTAAAAGGAGTTCGATTTACTTTAGTGCCGAAGTGAAACAGACTTATAGAACGTAAAATTTAATGACGAGTTCAGATGAACCTGTGACAAGGCACAGCGGCATGGGAGCATTTCGCGATTACATTGTAAATAATGACATCTGTGAGAAATCACGGTGTTCAGTGGTTATTCTGCATCACCTATAACACACCTATGTGATTACAGATCTATAAGTAGATCAGTTCATTATACTGACTAATCCGATACACAATGATAACAATAGAAATAGTACAATTAAATCATTTCTTCAAGATACTCGACATATTTCTGTGTTTGGATACCACTTTTAGTTTTTATTTTGAACAATCATTATTGAGGCTCTGTAGTGCAATGGTCATGCTTACTGCCCCTTGGCTGCCTGTGTGGATGAAGGGGTGGAGAAAAAATCGGAATGTTGTAAACAGTGCCAAGGGGGAAACCAAGACCTCTTAAAGGATGCATTTGTCGAAAAACGACTCAGTTCTTCAAATTAGTTTTACTGACTGTCAGGAGAAGCCTAACTTTCCCATGAGAACTTCCACAGTATGATTTTTAAAGAAAATGAGACCAAGCGTCATTGTGCGGAAGAGTCGGTATGTTCTGATCCGTAAGATCCAGAATAACAGACAGAATGCGGCAATCAGACCTGTCCATTCATTCTGTTAGCCCACTCGTGAATTCCATTCCGGAAAAATCCAGATTGTGCGCAATAAACGCTAGTACTTTTGNTTTTGCACTTGTCTTTAGACTGGAATCATTAGGAAAACGTCTCGGGGTGGGGGGGGAGGGGGATTCAAATATAGCGATACACGCATCTATACCTTATGAGGGATCCATCATCACTTGACTTCGCTTTTTACTGCTCATTCACAGTGTGATTGACTTGTTGAGGATTTTTAACTCTAGGAATATTTGATTCCTAATCAGCAGTTCGGCAAAATCTTCCAAAAAAACAATAACGCATCAGTAAGAATTGGAATGTAAATTTGCTAAGTGGTGATTCCAACTATGCACTGCATGTGGGAGAAATTTTAAATTGAACTCGTTACACCCGAAGAAGACAAATACTGCGAGATGTTAATATTTCTTTTAATTTCTTCTCTCTTTAGAAGTGTTAACATCTCGCAGTATTTGTCTTCTTTCGGTTCTAACGAATTGGATAAAGAGGACCTAATGTTTCAAGTTTCAAGTTTAAAGAGATGTATTGTGGCCTTAAAAAGCATCTGAAATACTCCATTAGATTGAATCTGGTGTTGTATATTTTATACTTTAGCATTACTGACAGAAGGGATTGAATACATTATATATATGCATACACTGATTTGAACTGACCATCCTTCAAACTACTTTCATGTACAATCCTCAGTCCATTCAATCAACCATACACTCAGAAGCATTAGACACGAGTTTCACTGTTATTAGTACTCGGTAGTGCATATCAACTGTCCCGTCCGGGGTGTAAACGGTAGATCCATCAAATGGAAGGTGTGCGCATTGCCACTGTCGTTGTGTGCATCTGATAGGACAATGGAAACGTGACAACACAATTTAAAGAGCCAATCGATAATCGTTGGAGGGAATAAAACGTGCGAAGCACAGCATGGTGGACGAGTTACAGAGAGTATCGGCACACACAGAGAGAGCTCGATTGACACTTACCAACCTAAGACATTTGTGGTACCTTCGCGACATCCGGGTCTCAGTGAACGGTCGAGTATATGCTGCAGCAGCTAGGTTAGTTCTGCTTTCGGTGTAGATACTTGGCTATAACGCGTCTGATGAGGAAACCGGACAAGCACTGCTGAGGTTAGGTGCATAGTCTTAGTTAATCGCGGTCGTCCACTGGAACAAGTGGCTACTAATACTACAGTGGCTGGGACAAGCGTTGTACATATCATCAAATAAATTGTTACGATACGTGCTGCTTGCCGAGGTATACGTCGGGTGGAAAAATGTAGAGAGTGGACAAACTCCGACCTGCCACGAAAGTCTCAGAACCCTAACCAGGAGAATCGTTCACATAGGTACGCTAGGCTTCCTGGATGGGGACTACCAGAGCATGGTAACCGGTGGCTAGACACCTTAAGCGACATGGTTGAATGTTACAAACTGTGGTGCTCGTACATTTACTCTTTATCTTCGCAACCCTAACCCATGTGAATTCTCCATCTTCTTTGACTTTGCTCGTAACATTCCATTCTTCTTTCTGCTATTCTTTTCTAAATGGGCAGCCAAAAGGCAGTAACCAAAACCGACTGAAGGAAATGCATGTTTAATGGTTGTAAAATGTGAACTGAACTGTAACACGAATAATGGGAAATAAAATCTCCAGTCAGCAGATAAGTGAGCTGCTCGTCAGTTGACCATTTCAAGGAAATAGATCATGTCATTAAATCCAGAAAAGGTATGAAACGGATGCATCTCCGAAGTCGAGATGAAGTGACAGCTTACCGGAGGTCTGGTTAACGTAAAAAGGTTCACTATCGTGTTGTACGGAACGTGACAAGTCTAAAAAGTTGATGTTGATCTGTTTATTTTATGTATATATTGTATACTGTGCATAAATATAATACTCATTATAATAAAATGAATAAACAATATATACCTTTGGCACATGTCGTTCATGAACCATGAGTTTGCGTTAAGAAGCATACACTTGTCTTTTACCTTATCTGTTTATAAAGCTTTAAGCTCAGTGCCTACAAAATAAGAACATAAACGAAAAGGTGATCGCTGTGGAATGTGCTATTCTGACTGAAAATATTGAGCGTTTCATTGTTAATGCTCATTTGACTCGATCAACCTTGAACTCTTTCTCATGCTGAAAGATGATCCCGATTGTGCAATCTAGATAAGATCAATTGTACACAATTTCACTATTCCACTGAACTTATGGTAGATTGATGCACAATATCTGTTCGGTCAATGCTCATCAGTTAACCGAGTTCGATCAGATATTTGTGAATTGAAAAACCCAATTTGCTAGCTGTATGAACAGAACAAATTTGTTTCAATAGATCTAAAACATGCATGCTATTAAACTTAAGCTTTTGAAGGACATCAGACGTAACTGCCGTCACGAAATAATCTAACCCATTGATAAACTAATTAGGTAACTATGTTTCTGTTCCAGACACCAAGGTCGACTTTGAGAAAGTTCGTTTATTTTATGTTTGAGGTTTTGTGTTTGTGCCTATCATGGAGAAAGTTTAATTGTCGTTTATCGTTTAACACCCTGTCGAAACTCAGAAAGGGACCTATTCTGTTGTAATGAAAAATAAGATATATTTCAATTGACGTAACATATTGTAACGAGAAGGCGAGCTGGCTGGGAAAACGTCTATTGATCCAATTCAAAAAC